TGTAACAGGAACCCTTTGCATTTGGTGGGAGTACCGTCGAATTTGCCTTTAGGCTAATTCTGGCGTATTGACAGAAATGTTTATGAATATGCACTGTCCCTGTACTAAATAAATAAATAAATAAAAGTCAAAAAGTCGAGACAGGACCCATTGTCAAAATTTCTAAGTCCACCACTCTATTTCATTCAAAACGAACTACAAAATAGACTCAAGGTGTTAAATACCGGAATTATCCTTTAAGATAGCAGTGATAGGAAAAGCCATGTTTCCAAATCTAAACGACAGAGCCTAGTTACAAAAAAACTAAACAAACAAAAAAAAAAAACAATACATGGGTGGAATCTAACACAATCGTAGGTCTTACTGTAGCAAAATCAAACCTTGTGCACACTTTTAGTGCAATCACATGAAATCAGAAGACTCCTCATTACTGTTTTTTAAAGTCAATTCTTCCCATACCTTCTTTGCCATGAACATCTGCTTTCCACAGGACCTGAAATCACAAAAAATAAGTTATTTTAAAACTCAGTATTATATTTACACATGTCAAAATTAGACATGTGCCGGTATTCGGTAATGCGATAAATCGCGGTAATGAATATGCACGAGATTGTTATGGAGGGCTCTTCAAAATACCGTGAAAAATAATAGATTCGAATTTAGACTTTTAGAGCGCACATTAGCTTATTTTCCATCAACCGCTCAAACACTGCGTGCTGCGCAAAACACGCACGCACTCTGATGTAAACAATCCCCATATGTATAAGCACTGTGTGCATGCGGCAGTGCGCACTAGTCTAATGTAAACAATCCTCACATGATGAAGAAGCATGGCGGAACGCTCCCGACGATTTATCCCCGCAGGACTGCCAAACTCTCAGACATTCAGCTTGAGACTCAAGCGTGAGACTTTCAGACAGGATACGCGCGCGACACGCAGGAATGTTTTGTTGCTCCGCCGACCTCGACCACGCCGTGGTTAAAGTTCAAAATAGTTAAACTTCTTATTTGTAAAATGGCAAATCGCGTTGTATCTGAAGGGCAACGTTGAACCAAGCGGTCAGCGTCGCACATTCCGCGTCCTGTCTGAAAGACGATTAACGCATTTGACACTTTTCACATGCTCTCCCATAGAAAAAAATCACAGAGCAAAGAGGACACTGACACTGACAGACTAGACAGAGCAGGTTACTTTTAATATGAAAGTTGTTATTGATAAATCAGCTCTTAGGTTCTGATCACAGATCGTTGCTCCTCAGTTCAAGTAAACCGATCATGTTACTTTAGTTTTTATTTAAAGATACAGTACAACTTACCGAAAGGTATATTTATTTGTACATTATAACGATCAATCAGCGTTTTCAAACACGGAAAAAGGTCAGTAACACTGCAGGAGAACTGTTGTCACAAAACGTTACATTTACCTCAGGAAAGCCATTTAATGACCAGCACATTAGTTGACTAGGAAAAAATAGCAAGGAGTATTTTGCTAAATATTATATTTAATTTCTCTCTGTATCTTTACAGCATATATGTGAGAGATTTTTTTTCTTGAGAAACATTAACAGACTGGGGCCTACCTAATATTTATCCAAATGAGTCAATATTGAATTAAGACTGAAATCAAATCCAAGAATTTAATTGAATAATACAAACAGTAACCTACCAGTCATTGTAACATGTTGTCACTAAACTTTAAACAATTTGGTTTAGTTACCATATGTTTTGAAAATCACAATTATACATTGTGATGCTAGTTGAGGTTTTTTTAGAGACCCACAATGAATCTGTTTTTCTTGAGCATTAAAATATAATTTAATTAAAATATCGTGATAATACCGTATACCGTGATAAAAGCTCAATCAATTAACCGCAGCATGAAAATTTGATACCGGCACATGCCTAGTCAAAATGTGTTCCATTGGGACAGTGCAAAACCTCAACTGATCATGATCTGAAGGCTGAGCAGGAAAGGTTATCATTATGTTTTGAGCTGTCATGTGATTTTAGCTACATATAAAGTAAAAATGAATGTTACACATAGGGGTTCATTATGTTATATTCATACTCTAGTATTCGCTGTATTATTATCATCAACAAGTAACGTTACAGAACTGAATTTGATTTCTTAACAGTCTTGATAAAGTTAACTTATGAAAATCGGTCATGGTTTAACTACAAAGAAAACAAACAAACTAAAAAGGTAGGCCCATTTTTAGTAAAACTGTGGTTATTAAAATGGCAATAAATCTGCCAAAAACGTGGTTACTATAATTTTACTATAATAAAATCAAGGATATTTTTTTGAGACAAGAGTTTTCAGCTTCCAGACAGTGTTTCCGCTGTTTAAGAGATTGATTGAATGACTATCATAACGAAGAAGATTGTATACACAATTGGATGGACTTTGATACTCATAACAAGTCTACTAAAGCTTGTTTTAGGTCTTTAGAGATGTTCAACTGATCTTTCTTAAAACAGATGGAAAATTGAAAGGCATGTTGCAGTGTTTTGCCCTCCAGCTCTTGATGACCGTTATGACTGAACATTTATGAATGCTACCGTTAGCTTGGAAACTGTCAAATAACACACATGTAATATAAATTTCGTTTACCGTCAGTTTGACTGGATGAGCTGTCAATTTTCCTGAGAATAACGTTATACTTGGTATTTTAATGTGACATGTTATAACTATGGCAAGAGCTCTTTCAGTCACTGCTTTTTTTTTCCTCATGATGATTTTTATTTTTTCCTTTGCAATCCGCTGTAAAAGTATGACAAAGGACAACATATACGGCACATTTGTGGTCTTTTTTTTTTTTTTACAGTGTATGTATTTTTACATTAAGCACCAACACTTCAAAAGAAGTATATTTAAAAATAGATTTCTTAGTGGTTTTGAAAAATTACTATAAATTACAGCAACACCTCCTTCTTTGCCTTTCAGATGAGATTCATGTAACAATCCAATCTTGTGGGGTGGACTCATTTAAAGGAATGTATTCATTTGGTTTTAGCCAGGTTTCTGCCTAACACAGCACATATTGATTATAATCTGAGATCATATCATTGACTATGAGCGATTTTGAAGAAAGGGATCGAATATTCAGCAACCCAAGCTTTATCACTTGCTCCTCTATCTGTTTTTTTTATTTGTTAAACATCAATTCGATTGTTAATCTGACGTTTTTTTGGATGTCCAAATATAATATCTTGGTGAAAGAGGCTCTATGTGATGGGATTTATCTGACCTTGGTGATGCGAGGCCGCTAAAATAAACTTGTATATTTTTGAGTGAATGCAGCACAATCGTGAACATAAATGGATAACTTTAAAGGTGATTTTCTCAATGTTTTTATTTTTTTGCACCCTCAGATTCCAGATTTTCAGATAGTTGTACCTTGGCCAAATATTGTCCTATTGTAAAAAAAACAAACCCCAATTCACATCAATTGACAGCTTATTTATTCAACTTTTAGGTAAAAAAAAAAAAAATAACCAATAATATTTTGAAATGTATACAATGTTTAATAGGGAGCCAATGCTGTGTGTGTATTGTCAGTGTATACTATTTAGATATTTTTGCTAAAGAAAATGACTTTAATGTAATGTTTTACTGCCTCCTTGTTGCTGGTGTCTCTTTCCCTGGTTAACAGTCCTCTCCTCGCGGCTGAATCACACAAGCACTGAGGATGCGCTAGCTCCGTGCTCTTTCGCACTAATAAAGCATTCTGTTTGAAGTAGTCGGCGCTGAGTCCTATATAAAGCTATGCCATGCATGTCCGTGCATAGTAAGTAAAATTTATATATATATATATATATATATATATATATATATTTCATATATAAATTTTACTTACTTAATAATTTGTGATATTTTCAGTAACACTTTCTAATATGATCATGCTTAAAATGAATTATAGCGCCATTTATATTGATTTATAAGTAAGTATTACCAAATACTGTATATATTTTGGTCCCACTTTATATTAAGTGGCTTTTAGTACTATGTACTTACATTGAAATTAATAGTTTGTTACAATGGACTTATTGTGTACTTACATGTTTTTACATTGTACTTATATTTTAAAATTCCAGCATGTAATTACAGCCATAATTACTTTATGTAATTACATTAGTAATTACACAGTTGACCCTCCCCTCACACCTTAACCTACCCTTAAACCGACCCATACCACCACACTTGTCCCTAACCTTACCCGTATCACATCTCAATAGCAGCAAAAGTGTTTTACAATACAACAGGAACACAATAATACAATGTACTTATTGTTCAATGTAAGTACATAGTACTTAAAGCCACTTTTGTTAGTCGTGCTTAAAGTACAAAAACTTTAAAACTCATACTTAAAGTACTTGTTAATAAAATATTTTTCCAGGAGCAGTGCTGTGCGTAAGGTGTTACCAGGCCGCGCACCCCGGGGGCATGCAACAAAAATTAAACTTTTTTTACACTGATTTCAGTGGTTTGTAGCCTACGTGGGGTAAAAAAAAGTTCCATCTCTAGTTATTTAAAATCTCAAAGTTGCAGTGCGGGCGTGTTATGAATACGTGGTGTAAATCGTAAGTCGTGAAACACTGGCATGTCAATTGAATGTGCATTGTTTCCATTCAGAATGAGAGAATTATGTGAAAGTGAAGGACTGCTGGTAAAGCAGATTGAATCAGGTGTGACTGTGAGATGCAAGTGAATCTGAAGCTTGAGACTTTACAGGTGCAGGCAGCACACCTGAACTGATTTCCCATTACATTACTTTCTCACATGATTTCCTATATATTATTTGAGCTAGCATTCCTGAAGTGCAATGAGTAGAGCAGATTGCGTCTGACACCTTTTTCACCCCTGATGAGTTTGCATTTCAACCAAATCTGCCAAAAGTGTGAACACACCTTCAAATGCAGTATTGAATGAACTGCGTCAGCAATGTATTATTTGTGCTATTTAAAGTCATCAGTTTGTTTTTTTGTTCTGCTTTTAGGCGTCATCGTTACATGTGGAAGCAAGGGGTTCTTGTTTTAGGCAGTAAAAGTAAGAAGAGGACTTGGTGGTCAGATGCCACCATGAGAGCTGTCAAACTGTGGCTTTTTCAACCCAGGTAAACAGTAGACATGAAAATATTAAACATATTAAAATGTCTTCCTTACCTGTAAACAATTAAAACATGTTTAACATTCACCTAAAAAAAATAATTTTACTAATTTTATGCATCTGACCCTTTTTACCTTAGCAAAAGGCTGCTTATTCTTCTTCTGAGCTTGGCAATGATTTCGCTGGGAATTTTAAAACTGCCTCTCTTTCACACGGACCCAAAGCCTGTTGAAGTGCCAGTAGACCCCATCTACCAAGAGGTATATCTTTTTCATTTTACATCAGATTCAAGAAGTATCTACACCATTTCTGTGGTCCATCCAAATTAGTTTAGATTTGATGGGCTTAATCAAATCAAAAACTTTTCAATTCAAAATGACAAATCTAAATGCATAAATTTGTATTTTTTTTGGTATTTTTCTGGAGAATTTTGTGATATTGAGTCACAAATATAAATGGAGTAGTCTGAATTGCATTTGTGGTGCCAGATTTGGCTGCTGCTGCAGAAAAGTTGATTAAGGCCTGTCTGTATCAGAAAAGCTCTTAACAGGGTTAGTTCACCCAATGAATTGATTTCTTACCCTCATGTCATTCCATACCCATAAGACTTTTGTTCATCTTCGGAGCACAAATGAAAATGTTTTTGATGAAATCTTAAAGTTTTCTGTCCCTTCATTGACCGCTACACAACTACTACTTTGATGTATTCAAAAAGTTCATAAAGAGATTCTAAAAATAATCCATATGAATTGAGCGGTTTAGTCCAAATTTTCAGAATAGCTTTATATGATGAAGATATTGAATTTAGTCTTTTATTCACATATAAACATTCATCAACTCACATGCCAGTTGTGTTAAACAGAAGCTCCAGCATGTTCGTTTGACATGTGATAAATTAGGTTCATTTTCGGATCAAGCAGGTTCGGCTGGTCTTCACTGATTAATGTTTATATGTGAATAAAAGACTAAATTCAATCTGTTCTTACAGTATGTATTACATTTTCTTTCAACAGGCACTAATCTGCCTATTTTAATTTGCACATACTGCTTTTAAAAAAGAATAGAATTAGTTTGTTTCTGATATTTGTTTTTTATATAAAAATAAATGGTGAATAATTTATTGTTTAGAAGATATGAGACACCTCCTGTTTCCCTTTTTTGACACTTTTAATCCCACGCCATGGCAACACTGTTCGAGATATCCAATATCCATTTACAATTTTGCATCTTCAATGTCTTTTCATCATTTTCAGAAAGGGAGGAGGAGGAGTTAAAAATACAGAGCCTGTTTATTTAAAAAAATCCACATTGAAACTAAAATATCTGATTTCCTGTTGGTCGGAGCTATTGACTGTAAATTATAATGTTGCCCGGCTCGATGAGAACAATATATAGCGAGTTTGGTTACTGTAGGTAAAACTAATCTCCCCACTTTAGTCTAAAGGTGGTGCCCTTCTACATGCCCATTTCTAATGCTTTTCCCATGTCTATTGGTGGACAACTCTGATGTTTTATGTTCTCATGTGTTGAGTTTCATGCAATTAAATTAAATTCTTAGCATCCTAAGAGTCTCAAAAGTATCCAAAAAGATTATTGAACTTTGATGCCGCTGCCATGTCAACAGTATTTAAGATATCAAGAATCCTTGTGTTGGTGTATATCTGCCATGTATTGACATTAGTCTTACAAAGTTAGAAACAAATCGGGTAAAAATTAGTAACTCACTTTCTGCTTGCAGTCGGTGGTACTATGATTTGTACACACCATAGCCACATCCATGTGATCAGTCTCCTTCAATGAACATACAGCTTAAGTTATAACACACTTCCTTTTTCCCTTTTCGTGCCTTAACCCTCTGGGTTCTGAGGTGTTTTCTGGGTCCTGGAGGTGTTCTGACATGCTCTGACATTTGTGCTTTTTTCTGTTACTTGTGTTACATGGCTGCACTAAAGTTTGATTACACTAAATTCAGCACAAACTCTGCTACAATAATATGTCAGCAGCATGTATGTAAAAATACATGTATTTGTAGTTTTGAGGTAATGACGTTTATGAATGGTTTGTGAAAAAATATAAAAGTCTTTTCAAATTTGTTTGATTTTTCACTTAGTTATATTCATTTACAGAGTCTCCTGTGAATGTTGAAGTCAGGACTCATCAGTGGCATCTGGTCCCTGTAAAAAAAATTTTAAAATAAACACTTGAACATACTGATATCAAGAGAAACTATATGGCTGCACTATTTTGGGAATACATTTTAGATTTTTCTGGTTAAAATTATTAATAAATATTTATGAACACCAAGTTTGTTGTGCATTGTTATAGCCTATTTATAAAACGGTTAGTTCCAATCCTTGATTCTGATTGGTCAAGAGCTGTGCTTTATTCACGATAAAACACGGCAATGACCGCTTCACCCAACGGTTCTAGTTATCACTGCGCCCTTAGCAACCACACACATCAACCCAATGGGCAGTGAAATGCTTCGGTGACTGGTGTAGTGAAAACGGTTGCAGCATATTTTAAACAAATCACCAAGACGGAACTCAACGCACTTATCCGTGACTTCTACGGAACTGTCACGCCGGTTTCACACCGCACGCGTTAGCAGAGCGTTAATTTGGCCATGATCAATGCAATGTTGCTTTAATTCAGTGTAAGCCGCGCGGCAAAAATAGAAAGAACGCCGAAACGATCGCGGCACTGCTGCTCCTGCTACGCGAAGCCGCGATGCCGCGCCGCCTCTGCGTGCGGTGTGAATGCTCTAATCTGTTAACATGGGCGCCGAAAAAAATACGCGCTGCTGACGCTCTGCTAACGCGTGCGGTGTGAAACCGGCGTCAGAAGCTCCACAGGAGAAAAATATGGGATCAGTAGCGTTACGCGCGGGGCTGAACAGATTCCTGAATGATCCACCTTTGAGTTTGTCCTGGTGTCTGAAGAGACACAGCGAATTCACCTCATCCAATAATGTTTTCGTTGGAGTCGTAAAGACAATAAGAAGAGAGGGTCGTGATGAAACACACACCGATTTCTACTAAAGATTTCAGCACCATAAAACTGTCCGATGCGCTTAATCCCAACCTGTCACTATACCAGTCACCGAAGCATTTCACTGCCCATTAGGTTTGCTGCACGGTATTTTTTTTATTTGTCTTCTCGAATGTATTAAATTTCAGCACTTCAGCATGACAGTTCGTATTTGTAGAAGTCTCTCCAAATTGTTCCTCAAACCACTTATCCATCGTCATGCCACCTAGTATAAATCGAAATTTACTTGAAACATTTTAGCCTTTTTAAATTATGTCTGTGAGTGCACATAAGTGTAAAAGTAAAGAGCTACTGGAGGCCAAACTTAAAACAAAGAAAGCACTGGAGTGACATTCTTGCTGCAACAGAAAACATCGCTGACAGCGCTAAACCCCAACTAAAGAGGAAGTTAAATATCACCACAGCGGAGCCGATTGAAATGAGTCAAATATTTAATGCGTGCACAATAAAAGATGTTCAAATAAATTTAAATAAACAACAATAAATAAAGTATCTCTTGTTAGGCAGCATTTAAGCAACTAAATTAATAACTAGATTAAAGACCTAACTGTTATCTGTGACGATCAGCAGCCGTGGTGCCATCGAGAGCCTCTAGAGGGCACCCTCTCCCCATGTTTGTTTCCCCATGGACTCTTTGTGTTGCATTATGTTCAGCTGTGTTTCATTATTGGTTATTGAGTTCCTTATTTAAGCCTGAGTTTTCCCTGTGTCCCTTGCGAAGTCTTGTTACACTGTAAGCGTGCAATTCCGAGCGTTCTTCCCTGTTCTGTGTCTCCGTGTTTCCCTGGACTCTTGACCCTTGCCTGTTTCCTGGACTGTTCACGAACCTGTGCTGCCTGCCTCGACCATTGCCTGTTTTGACCACGAGTTTCTGGATTGCCCCTTTGTTTAAGTGTTTGCCTGTGTTCATGTCTGCTTGCTTTAATAAAGTGCTGCACATGGATCCGACCGTCTCTGTCCGTACGTTACAGAAGACTTCGCCAAACGAGGATCCAGCAGACTTTCAGCATCTATCCGCCGTGGTCAAGACCCGAGCTTCAATGCTAGCCTCTCATAGTTCTCAGCTGGCGAGACTAACTTCTCTCCTCGAGGAACTAGCAAGCTCCGTGCAGTCATGGTCTCCGCAGAGCACAAGCACTAATCAATCCCAAGCTCCCGCTGCACCTGTTCCACCGCAACCCTGTGTGAGTACCGCATGCAGTAATTCCAGTACGCCGTTTCCCGAGAAGTTTAATGGCTCACCGGAAGCGTGTGAAGGATTTCTTCAGCAGTGCAGTTTATATATGAAACATCAGCCCCAGTTATACGCCTCGGATACCGACCGCGTTTCTTTCATCTGCTCACTGTTGACTGGAAAGGCTCTGGAGTGGGCAGGCACGTTTTGGGAACCAGGTCGGATGTCGTTTCCTCCTTTCGACGTGTTTACCGCCCTGTTCAGAAAGGCTTTTGAACTCCCCGCAGAAAAGGAGGGTCTCGAGGAACTGCTCTTTTCCCTGCGCCGGGGAGTTTCGTATGCGGCGGATTTCTCTCACTCACTCCGCACGCAGCATAAGCCTCAGCTCGCTAAACTGTTTGATCCTCCCTTAAGGACCGTCAGAGGAGCTTCTAAGCATATCGTTCCTGCCAAAACCACTCATCATGTCGGACCCCTCGAGCCCGTATCCCGCACTGGCCCTGTTAAAAGTGCTGTTTCTAAGACAGCGGAGGTGTCGCGGGTCGAACCGGAGTTTGAGCGCGTGCCAGCCAACTCGAGTGAGTCAAGTGCCGAGCTGAGTGAATCAAGTGAGTCAAATACCGAGCTGAGTGAATCGAGTGCCGAGTCAAGTGAGTCAAGTGCTGAGCCGAGTGAATCAAGTGTGTCCAGTGTTGAATTTAGTCTGTCCAGTGAGTCTTCAGTTCAAGTGGGCGAGTCTCCTGTTGAAGTGAGTGAATCTCCTCTTCAAGTGAGCGCTGCATCTCCTCTTCAAGTGAGCGCTGCATCTCCTCTTCAAGTGAGCGCTGCATCTCCTCTTCAAGTGAGCGCTGCATCTCCTCTTCAAGTGAGCGCTGCATCTCCTCGTCAAGTGAGCGCTGCATCTCCTCTTCAAGTGAGCGCTGCATCTCCAGTTCAAGTGAGTGAGTTGTCCAGCCCCGTGAGTGTGTCTAGCCCTGTGACGCGCCGCCGCAGGAGGAGAAGGAGGACTCGTTTGGTTCGCCAGGCCCGGTGAGC